CAGTTGAGAAGGGAAAAGATCAATATGTATTGATAACATTCAGCCTATTAGGAGTCTTTTGTTTTGTGTAGGTGTTATGTGTAGGCATAACACATACTCACAAGTGAGCTGGAAGTTGGGGACCATTAATTGCAGAGAAAGCACACAGTTTACAGACAATTTCATTGATAGGTGACAGTATGACTGTTTAGGGATCTCTTTTAGTGCAAGTGGAGACTCAAGAGTTGATGGGGAAAGCAGGATGGCTAAAATGTATAAAATTACAATTACAAATATAGCCATGTATTAAAAAACAAACTTTGAGTTTATCATTTTGTATTTTTGTCATTTCGAACATTTGAAAATGTTTAATCCTCTGAATTTGAAAGATTTCTTCTCAGCTTAATAATCATCCTAGCAGAAGACCATATATATATATATATATATATATACATATATATATACACATATATATACACATATATATATGGTTAAATGTAATCCATGATCATTTTCATCAATAATTCACTTTAGCTTTTCTCATCCTATTTCCAATATCCCAATCACAAGATAGTAAAAGTGAATTAGCTGTTAGAAATGCCCAAACATCCCATTTTTTACACGTTTACAAAAGTAATACCCAGCCAGCTGTCCAACATTTCTGACGAGGTCACCTGACCAGGAAGCATTGGGCAGCCACCATATATGCAGGGTTGATAAGCATTACATTTGTTTGGCAATGTAAAACCTAGCCTAGCTGTCTAACGACACGGGGTGCTATGGACAGGCCAGTTATTTATCACTGATGCAAAACGCTGTGCCAAAATAGTAACAACCTAAATGGTTTAAAAAAATAAATAAAAAAAAATCCCTCCCTCGGTCAAATTGGAAGTGCCAATTAACCTAACAGCCATGTTCTTAAAACCCAAGCAAAAATACACAGACCTGAGCTATGATTCGGGCCAGGAACCTGCTTGCTGGGAGGTGACGGTGTTAACTACCAAATTAACATGCTGCCCCAACCTGAACGTGAGGCTATTTACGTCTGAAATTAAGAAAGTGTTTAGAAATTAGCGCTCATTAACATGTCCCCTCTCTCTCGCGAGACAACACACGCAATGAAAGACATTGGTTTCTTTCATGGGCAGATTTGAAAGTTGTTGCTTGAAACGTAAAATAAATAAATCAGAGGAAAATCAGCCAATAATATTAGCAAGCTCTGGAGCAGAATACGATCCGGACTATCGCAGAAGACAGTGGGAATGATGTCCACGGCATCTTTTATTTAAGGAGAAAAACTGTGTCAACATCTAGCCAAGCAAATAGTACTGAGGAAAAAATAATGTCACTGAAGTCTGCAATAACTAGATGAAAATAACATTTCAAAGTCAGGTGCAAATAATTGATGGTGGAGGATAAATTAGAACGACGAGAATAGACTGGACCAAAAGCCTTCTTCAAAGGGCAACATGTGGAAACATTTTTTGGACAGATGTAGCAGAGAGCAACCTGGTGTTGAGTCACTACTAGTTTAAAGATGATGTGACGGAGGACAGAGGCTGCTGGATTCATTCTAAAGTGTATAGAGATATCCTGTCCACTCAGATTTAGCCACATGTAGCACAGATGATTAGAGGGGACTTCACCAGAACAGGCGAACGATGAGCCCAGACATTCTGGAAAATCATACCTGGAGAGACTGTAGATATAGTGGAGAGACACTTTCAAATGGTTCGTACAGACATATAAGCCTCCAGGCAAATAAGCGTGGATTTGACGTATGATTTTAAATCATTATTTCAATTTAGCTGCAACTAGTAGTAGTTATCATGAGAAACATTATGCCCAAATATTTTACTCACAAGACTCATACATGCCAATAAAATATGCAAATTGTGTTAAATAAGGGCATGTGATATGTGGATATGAGTGATGAAATGTTGCAAATTCCTTATTTTAACCAATTCAAAAAGGTTTTAAAGTGACCAGAATATCAGACTAAACCAAAATCTCACCATTTTTTTCTTTCATAAAGGGTCAAGAGGTTTCTTTTTCTGTTAAAAGACCAGTGCCCTTCATAATGAAGCCATGAATCACATGCTTATACTACCACCTTCCCGTAATATATTTGCTTCAAACCAACGAATGGAAATGGGCAATTCCTAAAGTTTACTGTTCAATTTGCTTGATGGCTTGGGGGAAATAAAACTGTTGGCGGCGAGGATAAACTCCATCCACACCCTCTACAAGCATAAACTGGTGTGAAAACCCGAATGATTGATGGACAGCTAAGCGCTTTTCTGTTGATTATATTTTCAGGGAATGCGATAGAAAAACATTCCTAACTAGTATCTTGTGAAACTGATGGTCTTTGATTTTCATTCTATTTTTATTTGGCTCTCCATTTCCCCTGTAATCTCCAACATAGCAGCTGCATGATTGTTGATCACTGAGGTATTATTCTTTTAAAATGTGTTTTAAAAAATGAAAGAACATGGATCAAAAAATGGATCATAAAAATGAGTACTTTGGTGCAAACGAGCGAAGCCTGTAACAGAAATATATCCATCCATTGTCTATCCCACTTATTCCTAGTAGGACCATGTACAATGTAAAATAAAAAAGAAGAAAAACACAGACATCTGCCCTTTTTGAGAGGACTGGTCCTCTGTGGTATGAAAGAAAGGAGGATATGTGAGAAAGCAGTTTGAAATTAGGATTAATGGCAATGATGCATCTATCAGGGGAAGAATGAATGGCCACTCACAGCATCACTTGTGCAACAGTGACATCTTTTGGCGTTCTTATTCTACTTCTACAGACTAAGACTGCCTGTTGGTGCAGGAACACACAACTGTAACAAAAAAAAAAAAAAGGATTACGATCTCATCATGCAAATAACTGTTCTATTAGTACACAGCTACTTCATGTTTCCCACTTCCTACTTGTAAATGGACGGTTATTTGAGCTGCCTAGGCGACAGTTTTATTGTGCAGCCACATGTTGACAAGGCTGAAGGACACAGGAAGTATTGTTCTGACAAGCACACAGGAATCTATCCCCTTGTTTCAGGCGCTGTATGATGGCTGAAATGAGCTTTCAGGTGTGAGCGGAGGGAGCCAGTAAATAAACATGTGAAACTGAAGGAGTTTGAAAGGTTTTCCAGATGAAATTGACCCAAAAGCCACCCAATGAAGTCTGATTTCTGACAGCTTGTAACAAGTCTGAAACTTTGACTTCGTTGAGTTCATTTAGGATATTATATTTCAGTTATGTCCTAAACCCTTGTTTCAGTTTAGTAATTTTAGCATATCACTTTCTTCCATAAATAATAGATTTTCACCAAAACATATAAGTTACTTGCATACTATAACAATCAGGTGAAATTATTGCACAAAAGAGATTACTGACAAACAATAAATAAGACCAAAATAAAAACAATCAGAAATTATAATGAATTCACCAAATATGGAAATCTAATTTAAGCTGCAAATTTGAAAAATGTCGATAAACTAAGACTCTTTTAGTGGATAACTGCAGTGGTATAGAAAAGTTGAGGTTGTTGTTTTCAATTTCTTTATTTCAAAAACAAAAATGATATTAATCTTAATGAAGTTTGGTTTATGTCATATGCGTTTAAGGAGGTTGAGATTAGTTTGGGTAATTAGGGTTGGTTTGAGGGAGAACACGTTTTAGTGTGTCATGGCATCAGTCATGTCTCAATTGTTCACGGCACAAATCCTAAACTCTCACAATAAAGAACTTACCGGTAACTGAAAAAGTGCTCCATAGAAGCACCATAATCTATCAACTGATACTGATGCTAAATTCCCAGTCAGTGAGTAAACATCCTTGGGTCTTTTGTTCTGCTGTGCTGTAATACTATGACCTAGCTGTAAATACAAAAAGCTTAAACCCCTGATGTAAAAGAAACCCAAAAGAGATTAATGACAAGCCCATGGTTTCTTGATAAGATGTACAGTAAGCTATTCAATATTCACCAACCTTTGACTCTTCCTATTGGGCCAAATCACTGATATATCCCTTGTCAGTGCAACAGGAAAATAAGATGATAAAAGTCTTATGCAGTACAATGCAACAAAATATAGTGCAATTGATTTTAAATGTGAGTTTTCAAATATTACTCACAATTACAGTAGAGGGCGTTTTAAATCATCTTAAAATTAAATCTGGGATACACCAGATGGAGAAAATAGATGATTGCTTTCAAAGCATTGTGTAGAGGAGATGTGAAAGCTCCTTTTTAGGATGCAAAAACGTTTTTAATCTGAAAAACAGATATGATATAGAAACGCAGTGGGTATTTTTTTTTATCTCTGTCCAACATTTCCATGTGCCTTTATAAACATTTGCATTGCAAATCCTTTCTCTGGGAGGCTTTGGGGACATGAATTGTATTTTCCCAATGACACACTAGGCAGTTTTTTGTGTTTTCTTCTTATGGGAAAAATATCTTCCCATAGGTTTGTAATCTATTATAGAAAATCGTTTTACGGAGGTCTGGTATTGCTCCGTGGCTCCCGGATGAGTCATGATGGAGTAAGTCTGCTGTTCACCGACTCTTCCGCATCTGCGCACTGAGAATTTCAGCTGTGTACAGCTGTAAAAAGCCTCCCTACCGGAAGTGCTTGCCCCTTTCACCCAAATAAGAGACTCAATTATTAAGGAGTCTTCCTCGTATTACGTTTTCTGGTTTTATGCAATATGAACTTTTGCATGAAACTATAAAGATGATGTACATTTTCTAAACTCAAGAAAACCAACTATGGAAATGACGACGCAGAAGCATATACCCCGACTATCACAAATGCAAAGCTTCGTTCGGACATAGTTATATGGAATGGCGCTAGTTGCGTTTGGAATTTAGAAAGAAAAAGAGGAAATATGAAAAGCTAAAATATCAATTGAAAAGTACACACTGCTTTCGTGAGAAAAATAGAAATAAAGAAGAAATAAGGACAAATCCATGGCACAAACGTCTATCAACGCTTTGAGTCTGAAAGCCCTCACCGGAAGTCTTGTCCTCGCTAGCTTGTCTGTGATTTTTTTAGTTGAAGTTGAAAAAGAAGTTTACCTGAGGTCTACTCACCCAACTGTGCGACATTTCTTTAGAAGTACCTGTGTGCCATGAGTGGACAGGCGGTACCTGCAGACATTTCAGGACACATGTTGGATTTGGACGAAGACGAAGACCTTGAGGTGTTCAGCAAGGTAAAGGGAACTCGATTTTTTCCCCCCGGGACAAAAGCCTCGAATCTCAACTTTTAACTGTTGCCTTTTTAAATGTTTTTTTTTTTTTTTTTTTAAATTCTGATTACACAACGGAAGGTCACTGGATAAAATAGCATTAACCGAACAGATCTGAGTTTTCCTGAGTTAGTGTAGTTTGTTGTGACAGTTGGTGCCACTCATTGTGAGGAGGGAAGGAAACCGAGGATCAGCTGATGGGCTGACCTTAGAACCGCACGCGCCGGGAGCTTTTACCGCCAATACAAAACTCCATTAAGATTTCCAGTAATTAAACATAGCTTGAATAGACGTTGGAGTTATTGTTAATAGTTTAAAAGATGATTACGGACATGTTATCCCATTCTTTTCGGCATATTTAAAAGGAACTTTAACTTCATATTTCGTACAATTATCAAGATTCAGCCGCTTTTTTCAAGGAAATAGACGATAATTGAAATTAAATCAAACTGAATCAATTTTTTCAAGGAACGCCCTTTAAAACAACTAAACTTAAATCTACCATCCATTAATCAAAATCTTTTAAAGTGTTTATTCTTTACAAAAACAGTTCAGTCATTTGACAAATGCCACATTTGTTTACCTGCTTGTTTTATTAAAGATTTGACTTGTCTTATTGAGGTGAACTGTAAAACAAATCTGTGAGGACAATCAGAAAGTGTATTGTTTGTGAAATAACTGCACATTCTAAAAAGAAAGGCATGCCACTATTCAGGTTGGTGATCTTTAAAAGATTTGGATAGGACTTCTTCTATTAAACCAACAAGGATGATTAAGTAAATCTTTCCTTGACCCCTTAACAATATCTGGATGGAGTAGTTATTTCAAATATAGAAGCTTTATTAAAAGATGCAAACCACCTCAACATAAAAGGTCATGCGAGAGGTCATGTTTGCCTGAATTGGAAAAGGTTTGTTTGGTTCTGTAACAAGATTCTTTATACAGAAAGAGCCCAGATAACGTTTTGATAAAGGGTCTAAAAGAATGTAAAGAAGGTAAGCAGATGATCCAAAGCATTCCACTACGTCTAGAAAATATGCTGAAGATGGAACTGCGTGGATGGAGTTGACTTTTAATGTGACAAAGCCACTACATTTACAGGTGTAGACACCTCGTCTCCATTTTCAGAGAGCTGCTGTGAAACCGATTGGTTGATGCTGTCCATAACAGATATGACATGTTCTTAAAGCGGTTCAGTCGGTCACCCAAACCTAACGGAACCCGGACAGAAGTCTAGATCGAGGGACCAGCAGCAAGTCTGGAAAAGCGAGGGGAGAAAACACAATGTTTTGCATTGGCCATGCCCTCCAAAACTACAGAGGGTTCTTCAACAAACGTGCACGGCTACGTTTAGGGCTGAAATTGTAGAGGGACTCCATCGACTCATTTGGATGAAGAGACGCAAACAATCAGATTAAACAACAATGTTCTGTCCAAGTAGGCAGCTGGTACAGGGACGTAATTCAACAAAGCCCAAGTTGCTGCTTTGTTTGCTTTAAAATCTAATATGTAACTGAAAAAAACATAATTATAGACTTCTCAGTACAAATTTGTATCTCATTGCCATGACTCATGCTTTGGTCTCCACTGACTCATGTTCCTCTGTGGCATTTCTGGAACCGGCAAACAGGAATAAACTTTGCAACCTCCCCCTTTCCCATTTGTCATAATTAACAATAGAATCGCATAATTGTAATTATTGGAGATAATGATTATGTGATTGTGTTAAGCCAGATTGTCAGTTGACTTGATTTTCCTGTATGACACCAGCTTGGTTAATAAACAAAACAAAAAAAAAACACATTTGTGGCCCGTTTTAAGTACCGTACGTCGTCTCTTTGCACGCCCGTCCTCTTCGAATTTGAATAATTGATTTCTATCCTTTCAGATGTCTGACAGGCCTGCACCGTAATAATCAGTGGAGCTAAAAGATCTGGAGTTTAGCTGGAAAAGTAGACCAGGTCTCGTCCGTGTAGACTGGGCTACTCTCTGTTTCTTTCCGCTGAACTCAGCAGCTTCAACTGTTGTTGAAACAAAGAGGCATGCAGGCAAGACATGAAGGCTTCCTGATGTGTGCTCTCTTTAACTCAACAACATGAATGAACATGATAAAAAGGGCAGTTAGTCTGAATTAGTTTAATAGGTTTTACGATTAGAAATGAAATACAATGAATAGAAAAGTTATATACAGAAATACACTGTTTCAGTTATTCTTTATTTTATCCCTTATCTTATTTATAATTCACTCTGTGTTGTCTCGTCGGCACTATTCTGTCCTGTGCTTTCTTCTGCGTTCACCATAGAAAAACCCTCTCGGAATATTGTTTTCTTTCACTATGCACTAAGTAGATGTGTGGATTGACAAAGAAAAAGTAAGGTCAGAAAAGTCAGAAAAATAAATAAGAAAGGAAAGGCAGTCCCACCTTTTTTCTTCTCTGAAGTAATCTTTTCATACCAAACAGGAAGAAAGCCATTGAAAGGCATTCTTTGCAGAACACAGCCAATCTATAGAGAGACTGTGAGTATCCAGATAATAAATTGATCCAAATTGACGTTTTGATCAAACCTAAATCATTTAACTCAGATCTTAATGCTGTTATCAGAGTTTAACCTAAATATAGCTGAACAATTGCATAAGATAATGCACAAACCATGAGAAACCGACTTAAGGAAGAATTTTGACTGTCATCGTCCACCGATATGGGGAATAAAGATGCTTAAAAGCTGATATAAAGAGCCCAACAGTGATGCAGATCACCTCCACTCACAACCACCAACAGGTTGGTTTTAAGCATCACAACCGAGTAACAAGGATTTTGTTTTTTCTTTTATTGCTCCAGAAGACCTCTCTGGCCGATGGAAACGCTATGCCTAACTCCCCAAGCTCCATGGTCAACCAGTACAGCCTGGAAGATGAAGAGGAGCAACAGGATGGCAATACCAAAGACACCTTCATCACCGTGGACAACCCGGAGAGCCATATCACTGCCATAGAGACCTTCATTTTGTACAGAGTCGTGACCAAGGTTAGGAAGTACACCTTTGTAATTACAAACTGAATTTATACAGTGGGGGAAATAAGTATTTGACCCCTTGCTGATTTTGCAGGTTTGCCCACTTACAAAGAATGCAACGATCTATAACTTTAATCATATATGCATTCTAACAGTGAAAGACAGAATCCCAAAGAAAATTCCAGAAACGAATGAATGAATTTATAAAAATTGATAACCATCTGATGAGGATAAATAAGCATTCTTTGCAAGTTGGAAAACCTGCAAAATCAGCAAGGGGTCAAATACTTATTTCCCCCACTGTATGTATATATATACACACACACATACACACACACACACTGTGATGTTGCACAAAGTGAGGTTCTCTGAAACATTGCACAACTTATTTTCTTCAAATGTTAAAACCAAATGCTTAACTCAGCCTGGTCTGACTTTTACTTGTCAGATCACACTTACGAGATCCATATTGGGGTTCTTTAATTTTACAAACTTATATCTTCTTTATAAATCTCGTGCTTAGCATTTGAGAGAAGGAGCTGGCTCATGACTGGCATCCGTTTAACTCTTTTAAGCTGGGAGGGTTCAGATGTTCTTAACCATAAATGTACAGAGCCGTGCGGTGTCGTTTAGAAATTACAGTTGTTTAACGTCATGGATAGTTTTCTGCTCTTCATTCATTGGAAGCTCTTTTCCCAGACGACGCGGAGTGAGTTTGACTCCTGTGAGTACGAGGTACGCCGGCGCTACCAGGACTTCCTGTGGCTGCGGAGCAAACTGGAAGAAAACCACCCAACACTAATCGTACACGTATGTGCACCACTCCAGCTAATACATGCATCTCTCAGTGGTTGTATTGAAATGAATTGTCACGCTTGTTTTAAAATCAGAGCCTGAAAAAATTGTGTTGAAACTAAGGACTTTGTGTTACGTGTAGTAAATGTTTCTGAACTCCTTACAAATGAAAGCAGCCATTTTGGTGTCTATGCTGAGAAGTGCACAGAAACCATGCTGTTGTTCGGTTACGTTTTCATGCTGCTGTGATTGCAGCCTCTCCCTGAGAAGTTTGTGATGAAAGGCATGGTGGAGCGCTTCAACGACGACTTCATCGAGACCAGGAGGAAAGCCCTGCACCGCTTCCTCAACAAAATCGGCGAGCACGCCGTCCTGTCCCACAGCGAGCACTTCAAGGTCTTCCTCACTGCACAGGTGTCCGTCCCACACTCAAACAAATACATGAGGATCACACTCAATCTTTCAAACCTTTTCGCAGTTATTCGTATATAAGCAATAACTAAAACACGTACTTCCTGTACACCATATACAACAAAGATCCAGAGACATTATCACCATCCATTAGCTCGACTTTTGAAATGAGCTGGATCAAAGATGAAAGCCATCCAATGGTCTGCCAAGGCTCAGATTTTAATTTGCTACTTTTTTGGTTGATACATACAGCAGCCATTACTTATACTGAGGTCATTCAACTGCACAAATGTGATCTACAGAACATTTTTCATGAAAAGGAACAAGGTTGATACACATAATGCACAAGTGGTTTTATCACTATGGTAACACACTGATTAGAAATGTGCATCAGCTCACTCCCAGAGCACTGAGATGCCTGTTACGTCAAGTTTTTCGAATGAAAATACATTTTAAAAGCAAAAAAACGGAAAAATGTGAAAAAACAGCAGCTCCAAAACAACTGAATTCTTTTCTTACATGGCGTGTGCCAACTTGCCATTTTATTGGTTCTTCAGAACATGTGCACCTAAACTGTTCATGTGTCTACATACAAATAAGTTTTTAGAGATTCAGATGTTCAAGATTCCTTTGTGATTTTATAGCATATTATTTGTGTGTGCACCAAAATATGGGTGAATACTGAAATCCCTTATCAGTGAACTCTTGTGATTGGCTCCTGCAGGACCTGGCGTCTTACCGGAAACAGGGTCCCGGCTTCCTCAGCCGGATGGGGGAGACGGTGAGGGCTATGGCCAACTCGATGCGTGGCCTGAAGAGCCGGCCAGAGGAGTTCACAGTAATGCAAGAGTATGTGGACAACTTCAGTAACAAAATCTGCTCTGTGGACAAAATCACACAAAGGATCATCAAGGAACAGAGAGGTACCGTATCTATGGGCCCTTTTGTTGTTGCTTCTTGTATGTGATGTTGTTAGTTTTTAAATGTATGACCCATTCAGGCACAGTCAGATATGTTATTAGTCCATTGTGGACAAAACCAAAGAAGCTGGAAAAAAATACCTTGATTAAAAAGTTTATGACTCCATACTTGTATTATTATTCTACACAAAGATTTCTAGTCAACCGTGACACCTGACATTAAGCTGAAACAAAAGGAAGAAAAACTGCATCACACACATGCATAATCTTTGTTTTTTTTAGTACGGCTGAATGCTTTAGATTTCTAAACGGGTCAGAAAATGGGACTTAATTCAGCCCATTAAGACTGCTTCTTGACATGTTGACGTAAAATGAAGGAAGTCCTTACTGAAAGTCGAACGCATTTTCAAATATCCGGACCTTTTTTATTTAACTTGGACAAATATTTACTTTAGCCTAAAGCAAGTACTATGGATTTGGTTCTCTTTCACAATTAAAGACAGAAACAATATCATCCTTTCACTTCTTTTATGCAGGCAGAGTTTCATCGGCTACTTTGTTGTGTGTTTAAATGAGTCGTCTGTGCCTACAGAGTACATGGATGAGCTGAAGCAGTACAACCCAACCTACTCCCAGTGGGCGGACTTAGAGGAAAACCTCGCAGAGCCTCTAAAGGGAATAGCTAACTGTCTGGAGCAGTGCAGTACGGAAACAGAGGAACAGACCCAGCACCTGTCTGAGAACCTGGTCCCCGCCCTGCATGAGTATGTTCTCTGTGCTGACACCCTGAAGGTGAGACCAGGACACACAACTCCCACCTGACCACCGCCTCAGACCGGAGTCTTCATGTCGAGTTCAGGAGAAAGTGTCAGAAAGATGGCTAACTTTACCATTAGCCATAGCCGTTTCTATTAGTTTGAGCTCATTAGACATTAACACAAGCTTGGATTTGAGAGTTTTCATATGGACCCTAAGATGTAGCACATTAACTATATATGAACATCATAAAAATCATAATGTGATGAATCACTGAGTCTTTTTCTGCTAAGAGAGGTCTGAATGATTTTAGAGTTCGTCATGTGTCTTTAAGGTTTTTACCAAAATAGGAAATTTCCCAAACGATTGTTTCCAGACACACGGCCTTCCATAAGATGTCTTGAAAATCGGAAAAGGCTATTTTTTATTATTAATTTAAACTTTGAACTTGTTTGCTCTAGGCTGTGCTGAGACGGAGGGACAGCATTCAGGTCGAGTTTGAAGCAAAGAACGATGCTTTGGGATCCAGAAAAAACGACCTGGAAACAGTAAGTATCGTGAACTGTATGCATTTAGGCTGATGTGATCCAAAGCAGATACAAGATTAGAGCTAGCATCAAAGCTAGCAATAAGTTACACAGAAGAAAATCACTAGATAGACTGTTCAAGATGCAACATTGGTGACAATGGGGAGATAGAGGGGAGAAAAGAAAGAGTAGTAGAGATTGTCTTAAGCATGGTGTAGGTTTAGCTAGACAACAATCTATAGATGACCAGAGTGACCGAATTGCAACAAAGCCTTTGCAAGAGTATAGAAGCACTTTGTAGACTGACATCAACTTGAATTTATTTACAGCAACAGTAGACAGACACACTCACCCACTTCCCTGTTTCCCCCTTGTGATCTGTTCTCCGGTAATCTACCGTGATTAAGTGTAATAAAAGGAAGAAGTATGAAGCGGGGTCTCTGGTGGCCACCAGCAGCTCATATAGCAGAGGTGTGAGGGCTCCCTGGGAGGATTATCTAAATACCCGGGCTTGTCAAAGATAAGATGGTCCACGGTTCAGCCGGAACAAGAGCTGTCAATATTATTTCACACTGTAAGCCTGGAACAATGAAGGTTTATTTGAGATAATAACTGGCTTCAAAATGTGAAAAAAAAAAAAAAAATATGTTAAGGACAATGCTCAGTCTGTGGGCTGTTTTACACTCGATTTGCAGGTTTGTTCCGCCCCCCCAACAAACCCCCTACTTCAAAATCTCTGTTAGACTTAATTATGTAGTCAGCCTGAGATTGTCCCCCATGGACTTAAAGTATTTCGGCTTTAATTAGTTCTGAGTGTGTGTGGGTATGTGTGTGAAAGAGAAGCAAAGTGCAAGAATTGATCGTCTTTAATTCAGTCCTGGAGTTTCGAATGCCGATCAACCTATTTTTGCATTTAACACATCTGCAGTAAGAAGAAGGGAAATGTCAAACAGACACCTTTTATCAGGGTTTCTTACATCAGGAGGGATGTGGACGCCCACTGAACTAAAGGATTTTATGCAATTATATTTTAAAGGTCTTGATCGTTAATTTTGCAGGAGGAAAATGTTGATCTATAAGAAACGATTAGAGGAAAAAATAAGCTGTTTGCATTTATAGATAAGGGCTAATGATGCAGGGTAATGGTAATTCTGCTGTTCCGACCCTCTGGACGGCTGTTATATTTATCATGGTTTAACACAAAACACTTCCTAATTGTTAGTTTAAGGCAGCATCTACTTTTATTAAATATATTCTCTCAATATTACATGATTAGCTGCTACACCAGTTACACAAATTGGTTTAAAAAAGTCTTTAGAAATATATTGCATTGGCTCCTCTTACACAGAATTATAAAACATTAATGAAGGCAATGTTTTCCTTTGCTGGTGGTGGAATTATAATGTACTATGTTTGGATTATACACAAGGTGTGTGATTTGTAATGGTCAAGGGTTTCTCCAGTTCAATGCATAATGAAATTGGCTTTCTGGAACCAGCTTCTGAACAGAGGTCAGATATCAGTTTGATGAGAGGAGGTTGTTTCCCCTCTCTTCTGATGTTGGTCTCGAAATCTATCTTCCTATAGATTTCTAATAATTCTCTCCTTATATAAAAAACAGCGACATGAGCAACAAAACACCTTATTGGATCTGTAGTTTTAGACTTGGTCTCTACGCTTGTGACAAAAACAAATAATCATACAAATCATCATAATAGTTTTATTTATTTTCTTGTTGTTTTTTTGCAAAACCAACCAGGAGGATTCACTGTTGTTGGAATTTAGCTCAAAGTCAGATCTCATATTGCTTAATCAGACAGATAGGGGTCCGAGGATGCTAAAACTAGATTGCAGATGAAGTAGCTAATGGCTTATTTGTAGGACCTAGCACTCCAGCGGATTCATAAACACACACACACACACACACCAAATATGAGAATGAGTCACTGTCTGAACATGGTCCCTCAATCAGATTTATAGGAACAAGCTGGCTGCTTATTCCTCCTGTGTTTGTATGCACGCGTGCTGTGAATGAACCCAAGTTGGGCTTGCTTCGCTTATTGAACTTGAGTAAATGCCATCTTTCAGCTAAATGTCAGAGCGCTAAGCCGCTCAGCCTCAGTTAGTTCAGTAGTACCAACAGCATGAATACATCTGATTATCTCAGCACCCTGGGCTCCTCTGTATTATTCCTCATGATAATTGGTGCTGGATCCAGTTAGAGCTCTGATTTATGGCGTAATCAGATGGAGTCTTACAGCAAGTCTATTCTGATTCTTTTTTTCTTTCTTGCCTGTTGGGGATTTTTTTTCCATTTTAAACAAGAGTCTTAGTCAGTCTGAGAAAGCAAAAAGTTGTAAATTTATTTAAAAAAAGACCTCATGAAGTGAGAGAAAACAGCGTGATCTTACATGCTATTCATACAACGTACCAAGCTGCTCCGAAGGGTAGAAGTAGTGATACATTTTCTAAACCTCCCTGAGCTGAGAACGGGGGAGGCGTGAAACCTCTGACCCACACACCTGCTGGGGAGATTTGTCTACAAAATTAATTCTCAAAGGCTGGTGGCAGTGTTCTTTTCCCCGTAAAGTCTCCAAAACGAGATGCGTTACTGCTCTGAAACAAACCGAACTTTATTTCTCAAAAGAAATTAACTAGTGGAAAATTAAGAACTGAACATATAATTAGATTTTTTTTCAATCACAATGCAACATTTATATTATATTATAATATATTATATTATATTGTACTTGTCATGTGCACCAATTTGGGTTAGGCTTTGGCTTTAAGGATGAAAATAATACAAACATAGAGAAAAGTAGTAGAGACAATTGGAGAAATCCTAATTTTGCCGCTGTTGTCTTTCTTGAACAGGATTCAATTCCATTGGTCCACTGGTCAAAACAGCACTCAGCCACAGATACATAACGTGGAACCTGTGAGGGGTTCCTTAGTGACAGTGGTCTCAAAAGTCCTGTCAGACCGGTGGTGTAATCTCTCCTGTGGTGTGTTCAGTGTTTCACGAAGCATCACTCTATTGAGGTTTTGTGCTAGGCATTAGTCTTCCAGTGGAGTTGATCCTTTGGTCCACATAGGTAATGAATATTTAATGTTTTTGTCTTCCATGGTGCCTGGCCTCATTGGTAAATTTATGCCAGAACAGCAGGCAGCTCCAGCAGCCTTCTTAAGGCTTAGTGTCATTTTAGGAATGAGTAAATAGTTTAACAGGGAGAATGAAAAGTGGGTAAAAACATGAGAATATTCTACATGATAGAGTTTCCCTCTGAGAAGAAATTAGGAAATCTTGATAACACCAGGAATTGGAAATCCTCTAACTGGATCTTTATGCATTAGTAAAGCTTCTATATTTAATTAAAATCATGCCTTTTTGCAGCTGCAAGAGGAGGTGGATGATCTCGCGGACCGGGTGGAGCAGGCCAACAACACTTTGCGAGGAGACTGGTCCCAGTGGAAGAGCAGCATGAGAACTGATCTCAGATCAGCATTTGTTGCTGCTGCAGAAAGGAATATCGAGTACTACGAGAAGGTCAGCCCAAGAGTCATTTTGAATGCATTCATCTGAAAGATTACAAATTCACAATCTGCTCCAACACTTTAGTCATAGGCTAAGCATTTGTTGAACCATAGGCTGGTTCAACAAATGCTTTTTCACTGAGCAAAGAACAGCAGTAACGTTCATGAATGTTCACAAATAGATCCGTTGATTGACTTCTGGTCGGTACGTCTGATTCCAGATCAGGGAGAACTTGTAACATGCAACAGATTCTGTGTAAATTAATTTAACAAATTATCATTGTGGTACCTCTTCAATGTGAAAAAACACCAACAATGAGTTTTTTCTGTAACTGCCAGCTTTACAGGGTCAAACATGAGTTTGGGTTCAACTTGTTCTGTCACAACTTAAGAAAGCTGAAAAATGAGTGAAAAACACGTTGCCTTGAACACCAACAACTTCCAAAGGCCTGTTCGTGCCCAGAGCCGAGAAAGGACTGATGCAATTAGTCCAAGTAGAGTTATAAATATATCCTGTTTTAAGAAAAGCACCTAATGTAATCAACATACAAAAAAATCTAAATCTAAAGAATAAAAAAAGGCTGAAACTGGCCAAAAAAAGAAGTTGCCATGAAAACGAGCTCCCACAAATCTCCAGTACCTTCTATCTTTTATATAAAGACCTAGCTACCTAAACACCTACCTATCGTCTAGCAGACACTAAGAGTTTATTGTAAATCATTCTCAAATTATATACAATAAGAATTGTATTTCAACTTTTTTTCCTGTGTCTGCTAAATGCAGACATTTAAATGTATTTTATTTAAATCCTTTTTTCTTTTACCATTATTTCAGTCTTTAGCTGGTGGTCTTACAAATAAGTAAGCAAGTTGCTTTAGTGAGACCAAAGAAGAAAGGCTCCTGTGTGAATGTTTGTGGTTTGAAAGAAGATCGGCTTTGTTTCTGAGAGACATTCCAGGAAACCTCATAACATTTAGTTTGGTTTCCATTTGTTTTATATTATCTGCGTGTGCAAACTTCTGACCTCTTGCTATTGGTAACTTAGTGAAGATGTCCTGAACAAAGAAGGGAAAAAACAAAGGAGGAGAAGTTATAATGTGGAGGAGGGTTTTTATATTCAGATTAATGAGCAGGCAGCACAGCCCAGATAACAGGAAATTAAATAATGAGGAACAGGATCAGGAAGTCATCAGGGACAAGAGCATATTGCTGTACAGTTGTAGGACGTTTTCTTTATTTTTTTCTCGTCTCCTCTGGTTTAGAATGTGAAGACTTTACAAGAATATGCTTCAACTGCTTTGGCCGTATTTTGACCCTGGAGTTTGAATCTCTGCCAGCAGAGGGTAGCAGCGCTCTTAATACATCCCTGTTTTAGTTTCTCCTATTCAGACTCAGTTCTTTTATTTCGGTAAATACTGTAAATACCTACTTATCTGTCACTGTAGTCTGCAAAAATGTGGACATATCCTTGGAAAGTTTACATCTCAGTGAGTGGCATCGTTTATGAAAACAGCAATTAATGATTCCTGGTGACAGTTTTCAATATGAACCATGAAAATAATGAAATGAACCATTCTTCTGGAAGTCTAAAAAAGGTGCAAACTACCATGTAATTAAAAAAAAAGTTGGATGGATCATTCTTTAAACTTGTGCAACTGAGGCAGATGGAGGAATCAAATTCCAGGTATGATAAAGTCCCATAAATAGATCATAAAATAAATAAATTCAATAACGAATAATAAATCAATTAGTAATTCATAATGATAAATAAAGAAAATAAACCTCAAGCCGAGGAATTAAATATATTGGAATCAAGAACAGGATACATTTTAAAACAAATTAATATAAAAACCAACTATTAGTTGGTGGTAATGTGTCCCTAACACTTATTTTGTGCGTTATTTTGAATTGTTAAACATGAGTACATAAGTAACTAGAATAATGAATATATTTGTGATCTGTAGCTCACTGCCTTTATAATTCATGTCGTACTTTACTTGCTCAGCTTGTCAATGAAAATGACATTTAGAATTTAACGGTGGCCACCTCACTTGGCTCTGTGTTTAAAGATGAACGTCGGTAAACACACAAAAGATGTAAAGCCCGGACAAAGCTGAAGTTTGGAACCTGAAATTCAATTACGAGGTGGAGTTTGGATTTCAACACCAACTTAGATACCTGCAATAGTCAGTAGAAGAAGGGTAGGGTTCTTAACAAGAACACTAAAGAACTGCATGTGGTCCACTGGTTTGGCATCAAGCATAGATGTTCAGATATTGACCCTTTTTCTATGACAAATCGGTCTAAAACTTCCTGTGGGGCTGTATGTCTATTTCATTTTTGGATTTTTTCTTTACATGCATTGCCTGGGACAACTAGCTCCTATCAGCAGACTAGCTTATGAGAAATGTGTATGCTGATGTGTATGGAGAAGTAGCATAAGGTCAATCAGCCTTTAAGAAAAGACAAAAAACATTTCAAATACTGCCCTGGATCGGGTAGAGAGACATAAAACTAGAGCAGGTTCAGGAGGAGGAAGCAGGACAAGACACATAAGCAGATTCAGCTAATAAACTCATCCAACAACAGACAAAACACCTAAAAATCAACTAAAGTCCTGCTTCAAATACTAAACAGTCCGACGTTCATTAAGTAAGAATGGCAACACATATAGGGCCAACTCACCTAAAATGGCTGCCTGGTTTCAGAAGGGCTAACACCGCTATTCCCACCAATACCACTTCCTCTTCCTTTATTAGTTCCTTGTCTCTTCTGGGTCGGTCTAACCTAGATGTTCAGATATCTTAGTGCTCCCCCTGCTGGCCCTCCAACTACTTTTACTTCATCTAGTCCAAATCCACTGACTGGACCTTATACATGACATGTCCTTCACTATTTTCCTCACACTCTGTCCTCTTACATCCATTTCCCTCAACAATGAGACAGCAGATTTTTCAACAAATCCTCTACATTTTACTTCCACTTGACAAATTCTAACTTTCCATCCTCTCTGCTCTGCTTCTTCCCCTAACGCTACATACCTAGCCTTTTTCCTTTCTTAATGCTTCTCCTACTAAGTGACCCCAAGGAGCAGTCAGATCTATGAACTAGACTCTCATTCTACTCCTAGTTTTCTTCCTAAATTACCTGCATCTCCCAATCACAAGCATCCTATAAACTTCCCTGCGTCCTTATAGTCTATTAAACTTTGTCCACCTCTTGAAAAAACTGAATTGCCACTTCCTTTGCCTTAGATCCTTCTAAATGAACCTGCCTTCGCTCGTCTTCAATGCCTGCCACTAAGCTGCTTAAACTCGGGTTTGTCGCCACGTTGACCTGCCTGTCGGGGGATTTTTTTAAGGATGTTGTGCAGGGCAAGTCAGGCATATTCATTTTGCAGCCTGGAGAGGTCCATGGTTGCTCAGAACCATGGACAGCAACACAAAATCAGTAGTTCTCGTCCTCTTTGAGATCGCACAATGCTTAAATCACATCCCTCTTCACTTGTGTGTGTTTGATGCACACAATTCTGAGTACTATTCTGGAAACAATGCATCTCTCAAGTGTCTGCTGGCATTCCCATCCTTACAGTGACAACATTCTGTTCTTAGCGGAATACTCTAGTACAGAAGGTTAGCAGGGGCTTTTGGTCCTGTCAACATGTCCGGGTCATCCTGACATTCCTTTACCCCGAATAACCCTTTTCTCTCACACTATGATATTAATTTTCATCTCAGATAAATCCGGCATTCATGCTTCACCTTAAGGTTCTACAGTTTCTGATTTCATCCCCTTCTATCTGTAGGTCTTTGTAGTCATTGCTGAATCTTTCAGTTCTTATTTCAGCGTTTGTTGTTTTTATGTAAGAGTTTGTGTATTATTTACCGTAGTTTGTATGGACCTCACATTTTTAACTTTTTTGTCTTGAGCTCAGGCTTGCACTTAGAAAGACTAAAGCTCAGCCATCAATTCTGATAAAAGTGGGGTTTGAATAATCTGTGTCTACCAGCTATAAAAGAGCTCTTAGACTTTCCTGTGAGCGAAAGCTAAAAAAGGTACATTTTTTCCATCCAAAACAAATCTAAACTATATATTTTTTTGCTGTTTGAATGAGGTTTGTACTGTGAAAAATCTCTGTGGTCGATCCTGGGATAAAACACTATAAACCCTTTTACATTCTCCAGACATTTAGCATAGTGCCAGGACAAAGTGCACAACATTACACCACCAGCGTGTTCATCCCTGTTTTCTCATTCATCATTAAACATCACATGTTACAGAGCTTTTCGTTGCCATCTCTGACTCACGGGCGTAGCCACACTTTGCCACCTCAGTTCTATTTTAGGCTGACGTGAGAATCCTCAAGAGCAAATGTTTTGTCAGTGTCAGCTCATTTCACACCAAGTTATCGAAAGTTTGCTTTCAAATCATAAAATTCACTACGGGCATGATGTTGCTCTTCAAAAATCCAAATATTAGCTGATAAACTGCAACATTTTGTCCTTTTGTCAATTTGTGAGCATGCTTGTGACATCACATTTACACAGAAAGCATTTGTAAAAAAGTAACCCTAACAACAGACTACATTGTAAAGCAACATGTTGGCTTCTGTGAGTTTTTTGTCATCATCTTAAGCTAACCCAAAAAATCCTGGTTTTTGGTTCGTAGCTTTGTTTGGAATTTTGTTTGTATCCTGCAACTGTAGGATAGCCAAAAATAAAATGTTCCTGATACTGCAGTAGTGCTGTGATTAAGCTGGGGGTAATTTAGTAGCTTTAGTAGCCAAGAATAACTCAAACACAACACTGAAGTTGAGTAAGTGATTAAAACAAAGCCAGTGTGGCACTAGCCCTAGCGTCCTAGCGAAAATGGCTCTGTGCTGTGTGCTGAATTTGTCATTTAGGTTCAGATGTGCCCCGGTGCAGCCACAGGGCCTGTAAATGATTTATAGGAATGCCGCACAGAGAATGTCCTATGAAATCTAATAAGACACTTGCACCTGGGAGGGTTTCATACTGCATAGGTGTGGTACAGGGAAGGAATGAAAAACGATGGGCTGAAGGAACACAAAAGAGCAACGTGTGGAAAGGAATTATGTATTTACTGATTTAAAACAGATTTATGACCAGCACTGACCAATACAAAAACTTCCCAAAGGTGTATTTTTTCAAGAATCTGCTTTCATGTCATGGAATGCGCTGGTTTTCTTGAAAAAGTGGAAGCTAACAGGTGACACATCAAGTGACTTGAATCTGGAGAAAAAGAAACATTTCAGACAGGAACAACAGAAATTGACTAAACAGGAAAAGATTCACGATCAGTGAAAGCCCATAGAAACCATGGAGGTATGACAATACTAATCAGGAACCAACATGGCTCCCCGATAACAACGTTCAATATTGAACGTTAGATATTCATCATGAGAGTCATAGCTGAAGGTTTTTGGATAAAGGGGGCATAGGCGGCTGAAAGAGGAAAAAAAAAGAACTACCTTAGTTGAAAGATGTCTGTTTGATTGGTTGTGAAGTTACATCCTGACTCAAACCTGATAAAAAATATGTCGGGACCATCTGACATCTTTTGCTAATGGAATGTTCCGGGTGTCTTGGAGGACATGCTAGAGGCAGAGTGTCAAGCGAACTCCCTGTTTTGTATTTTAAGGAAATCCAATGCTGACTTATGTTTAGTTCCCCATTAAACTATCTTTGGGGTTGTTGATTCCTCTGTTAGATTTGAGGTTTTAACACTGAGTCGTAACAAGTCTTGGATTCATAGTCTTACTGCAATTCTTTAAATTGGATTTCTTTACCATAAGTATGTTTGTTTGTGTAAATTGTTATAGCATTTAACACTGCCAGATAATGGGTTGAATCTGAAAATAGAATCACCCCAGGAGTGATGTTAAGCGTTCCAGATTCCAGGCATCTGTGCAGTGCTGGAAAATATCATACAGTAATTAGAGCTGGCATGTTTAGAAAATCTACTGTAAGTGGATGATTATTTGTCATACAGGTTTCTGACATACAGTTATAAATCGAATAGATTATGCCTTATAATTATTCACCTATTATAAAGAATAACAGCCACCTACTGAGGATAAAAATAAAAACACTGTTCTCTGTATTTCTGAATATAACAACCCACCCTTAGAGAACAAGCAAAGTGGTATCATTCGATAGGGGTAAGCTGTCAAACAGGGCTACTGTTAGAAAATCGGCCAGTTTCAGGAGCATGACGATGTTACACGATAGGCCGAAATGTAACACAAGCGGTGGTTTCTGCCGCGATAAGGAACCATTTCAGAGACAAATGAACCACAGCACTGGCTTCCACCTTTCTGGGAGCGGGAGCTTTCCAGAAAGGTTTTTGAGCGTGTGTTCTCCTGCTCCGGCTGATTGACAATGCAGCCGTCGTCCCCTCAGACGCAGCGTTTTGATACACTGACTGATCTGCTCTGCCTTCATTAAGACCAACTGAGCCTCCTCAGCATTGCCATGGTTACCTCATAGCAACAAGGATTCTGCCAGGGATTTGGTCATGATACTATTTTTGTAATTTGCCTGTGTGCACCAGTGGACTCTATTCGAAGTAAAAAGGCCTTGTTCTGATTGGAATATTTATTTTATCCCCTATTACAAGTAATTGGCATATTTCTTTGGCTCTGCAGTTTTGTCAGAAACTAATATGAATAAAATGCACTTAAGTTGGCAGCATATTAAATCCTGGACAGAGAAAATGTTTCACTGGAAAATCTAAGTCAGCAAGGTTAGGAGCTTTTGGATGAAGAGGAAAAAACAAACACACATTTCTCATTGAGCTGTATCAGAAGCAGCATTGAGTTCAAACGCTGCCTGATGATGATGTTATATATACAGTTTAGTGATATTGTAAGATGATTTTGCTGCTTCTATGGTGACTAATGACACTTTGTCTCACTATAAAATCCTCATTACCCACTTTATTATGCATAAGCCACAAAATCCGGGCGAACTAAGTCAGGCCGGTGTAACTGTCTTCTTTCATGAGGACAAATCATTATTTTTTAAAAACATTAAGCAACACATTTTTCTTAATTAGATCAACACATCTTGCATTTGTTTGAATTGTATGTTTCAAACAAGTTACTAAGTGACCACAAAAAGACATGGAGCACATTTTTATTTACTTCTTTTAGCCTTAGATCATTTTGCCATATCTGTTTGATAGATTTGAACCGGGCCAATATGAAACTATATATTTGCCTAAACTAAATGGAATCTTGTAAATTTTGTAATTGAATAAATGAGAGCAGATCCAATTAAAACAATACAACTGGTCTTAATGAGATCAAGGCCAAGTAAACAAATCATATTGACCAAGACAAAAAAAATTCAACAAGTAATGATCCAAATACACTTCATATTAAACTAAGCTTAAATGTTACCGTTATCGAAGAATGTGTCTGCTAAGTCAATAAAATGTGGAGTCTTATTCAAGAGCAAGAAATAATGCAGTCCTTCCATTTTCTAGTAGTCTGTTTGGCTCTCGATTCATTTCAAAAACCACAAGTCCATCCTTCCCTGCCAAAGTCCTCTGAGAACAAATGTCTAACTGCATGGTTTTCTGTCTCTGCTTCCATCTAGATAACGACTTTTATGATTTGTTTTGCCGGCTGTTTTGCAAAACACTTACACACTAGAGAGAAGAATTTAGGAATGATTTGTGGTGATGGGGGGGTGGGTTAATCCAATGAGAAAGTGGCTTTTGCTGGCATCAGCATCCCAAAAACCTGTGTCGCAGTAGTAAACAACAGTAGTAAACAACAGCAGTAAACAACAGTAGTAAACAATACAATGATATATCCACTTTCTAGTTGTTGTTTGCCATTAAATATGAAGCTATTTCAAATTGGAACCATTGGAGAATTATTATTACTGTTATCATTTGATATTCTTTTATTACAAATTTTACTTTCTTTTTTTGTGATGATAAAATGGATATTCTAAATATCATGACATATTGTAATGACAATAACAAGAGGACTGTTTTTTCTTTCAGTGTCTGGCTGTATGGGAGACATTCTTACTGTCTCAGAAAGGAGAGCCCCTCAATCAAGGAAATGGGGAGAACTCTTCCTAAAGTCGAAAGAATGCCTTTTTTTTTTCCAAAATGCACAAAGCACACACCCTGTGGTCTTTCCATAAAAACCTCAAGAGGAAGATTGAGCCACTTTCCGCTGACGAAATGTCCATCATGAAAAAAAAAAACAAGCATGTTTTCAACTTTTCTGTCCTTATTTTATGGCCAAAGAGATTAATCCCACCATTCCAATTCTAACTGTAAATCACAAAAATCAAATGCTGCATTCCAAAAAAACCTAAAAAAAGTTTACTTGTTTGCACACATAGTGTGTTTGGCCAAAAGCCGGCGTTTCCATCTCAACACATTTCTCTATATGATAAATTATAGATATGGTGTAGTAACACCATCTCCTCATGAGGAGGAAACCGTTATGGTTTTGATGGTAGATTTAGATGAACCTGGTACAGTTTCTGTCAGCGTGCATGATCTGAGAAGCTGTGAATTCAAACCCACCACTGCTCCAAACAGGCCGGACCACCGGAGACGGTTGGCCTCCAGCTAGCTTTCAGACGTTTCGCTTGAAAAGTGAAATGAACGTGGACCAAAGACATCGAAAAAAATAAAGTGCCTGATTCTTTATTTCGAGTTTTCCTTATTCTTCTTCAATCACTAAAGGTCTCCTTTAACTCAACAAAAACCACTGATCACAGCCTATTTTAGTCTATGGAGTTCATCTTTCTGAAAACAGAGTTCAAGTTAAGAGGTTCCATAAGCTAAATGTAGAGCTATCTGGATGCTAGCTTGTCATTTTTGCACATGTTTTCTTTTTCTTTTTTTGTCAGTAAAAAAACAATATATTATTGTGAACAGCACCAAACCAGGGTGGTGAATCAGACCAGCATGAATGATCCTCCTGGGTTCCAGACCTTTATTTCTAAGGATAGTTTGACCCACCACCGCTAAATGCTATGTTAGAAATGTTAAAACTTCTGTTGCCTTTTCTCCTCACTAACCTCATGACGTTAACCAGTGAAACGGCAGAGCTCTGCTCCATTGAAAATGAGGACGTGCTTAAGTGCCTTTATAGACAAAAAAATGATGGAGAATGCAAAAATGATCTGGTAAGTGAAAAAAGACTTTGGTCTATTGTCTTCTCGGCTTGTTTACAGTGAATTTCTGACTACTTCCATTGTCTTAGAGAAGTGTCAGGAATGTGACTGCCTTTGACTGAAAGAAACTCCAAGTTTTGTGTTAGCGAAATATGTTCAAATCAATCTCTAAACACTAACCTTTCGTGCAAAACAAACTTAAAAAAATACAAAGTAATGCAGAGACTGATGTTCTACAAACTGAGCTGAGAAATCTAATGTTCCACAAACTCTATCAGTAATGCTTTTTTGTTTTGTTTTGTCGTGCTGTGATCTCATGTTTACATGTGTGAGCTGACTGAGGTGTATTTCTGCTCTTTTTACACTGCTTTTCCCCTCTTTTTTAGCCTCGCTCTTCTTAATTATGTAACGCATAAGAACCAGGTGTGAGAGTTGTCGGCTGATAATAAAGACAAACATCACCGTAAATTGTTTTTGTTTTCTCAGTGTTCGTTCTGGAGAAATCGAACAACAACAGTGATGAGAATACCAAAGATTACCAAAATACATACAGCATAAGCTTAAAAAACTGTCTTTTTTTTGCTGAATATATAAATTGTTGGGAACAAAACTAGCTCTGATAGTTTCAGAGGTTGATTCACTTGTGATTCAGAACAGACACACAGGAATTCACTGTAAATAAATCAAACGATTTCAATTAATAATCCATACATGAATCCCCTTCTTAGAGTTGTGCTCAGCTCAAAGTTTCTTTGCTACCTTGAAGAACAAAGACGCATTTTAAGAAATTGGCTTCTCTTTTTTTTTCTGTGGGCGCCTGCGTTTTCTTCTCAGGTGATCCGATCTTCATTATTCAGGAGAACGTCTCTTGACTTTACGCTCCTGTTTCTTAATGCTTTTTTACTGGCTTTTTATCATTTTACTGTCTTCCATTTAACCCGGTCCTATGCATGTTTCAGTTTGGATCTTTCCATTGCGGAGGACTTTGCATATACTGTATTTTGATTGTTTTTTCATAACTTTTCCACCTCCTTAATACTATTTACAATCTATCTTTTTCTTGTCTTGATAGTTTCTGCTGTAAATCAATTCTGACTTGTTGCGCTTGTATGTACAAACAATATTTCTTATTCTATTCATTAATATATAATTTTTCTTGTTAAGTCTTTCGCCCCAAAGGTAAAAACACAAAACGACTTTGGACACACGAGTTCCAATCTCACAATCCCAAAGAATTTGGACCTTTAGATGTCATGAAAAATTAAAAATAAAATTCCAGTACAAAAGTTATTTCATTGTGACTAATCCACCATTTTTTATGTGCAACTGTAAACATAAAGAACCGTGACAGGTCATCATTTAGTAAAAACCAGCCTGTATTTAGCAGATAAAAAATACTTATTACTTTTAGTAGGAAAGTATTTAGCATAACAGAATATTTAGGAGTTTTTGATTGAGTGAATAGCATTCACTAGAGTTTAAGTATTTTTTTTTATCCATTTTTAAATATTCTGAAATTTGCAATAAACCATAAAATAAACTACATTTAGAGCCATTCATTAAATAATATCTTACAATTAAATTCCCTTTGTCTCTAGATATTATGGACTAAGAAACTAAAGATGCCACCATAAAGTAGGTTATTGTACACACTTAATCCCATTAAATATTGATGAGTGTCTTTAAATAAATTGCCTTGACAATTGGGCCATTCAGACGTCTTTGTTTTCAGAGCAGAGTGTGAAGGAAATCCACCGGGGGAGGGGGGGAACTGTACATGTATGCTCCTACAGCAGGTCCCAACATTTGTGTTAAGTTTGCTTATGACTGTGAGGGTTCCATGTTTTTTTTTTGTTTTTTTCTTTGTTTTTTTTCTCCATGTTGAGTATCCCCCACCACCTCCACCCCAAAAAGTCCCAAGTTAAAGTTAGCCGCTCCCCATCCCTATTATGCATTAATGCCACTTGGGTTCAGATTAAACTTCTGTTTGGTGCATAAGTACAACATTTCTTCCATTTCTTCCAAATAACCTGGGAATCGTTCCTCTCAGACATTCCCAAACGTGATGCTTAATATCTCAGGTCCTCATCACCGCGTGAGGATGACCACTGTTGTGTGTATGGTTTGGTATTGAATGACTTGATTGATCTGTGAAGGGAATTTCTATTTAAACTTTTTGATAGACTCAAGCAAAAACACATTTGTATTTCTATGTGAGCCACCAGGGAAATTAGCTTGAATAAATGAATATATGAATATAAAGCTCTTATAGGATTTGATTAAAACTTTTCATATAAACTTTCTTACACAGTAAAAAAAAAAAAAAGAAAAAGTGAAAACAAGTAATTGCTTTGATATGAATTGGTAAAATATTTTCAGAATATTTCACTTAAAATTAAAGTTCTTTATCAATTTGTAACTTCTGGTTGAGGCAAAACTGAAAATAAGAAATTAATTTCTAAATAAATTCACAGCCTATATATGAGGTATTTTCTATAAAATATAACAGTAAATTAAGCCGTTAAAACACATCTGTATTACATATAGGACTTACTTAAACTTTTAAAACAGCCAACATATAGACTGTTTACTTTAATGCTATAAATTGCATAGAAATTTATTTTAAAATATGAATTTATCCGTTCTTTATTAAAGTAAAGTATGAACGTAGAGTTCTTGGGTTTTGTTTAGTTTCTGGTGTTTTCTCGGTTACGTTTGCCGTTTTTTATTTTGTGATTTTCACTGCTCCTCTGTCTCCAGTACTAAATCCTCCTCCACTAATGGCTCTCCCCTCCATATGAGCGTTTTGGTTATTTAATTCGTTCCCAGACCCTCTCTAATGTCTCTGCCTGTGTCTCTGCTCCCCTGTTTTCTTCCCATTCTATTTCATTGTCTCTTTTTCAGGTCAGTCCGTTGGTTTAGCTATTTATGGTATTTTGGATTTCTCCAAGTTTAAGTTGTATTTTTTTTTTTATACCAATGGTTGATTTGTGAGTTTCTTGGTTCTCCCTGAGTTTTTTCCCTGCATTTTGGATCCATCTCCTCACCACTGGCTATCGCACACATTCTGGTTTTCTATGATTAAAAAGCTGAGAAAAGTCTCACTTTGGCCCATTATGGATATTTTCCCCTGCAAACCTTTAGCGATGAGGGCAAACATAATATCTACATTGTTTGCGATTGATATTCACCACAGAAATTAATGGATAATTTCTAAGACCACAGGTGCCTGCAAATCCATGATATTCCAGAAATAATTACAGAAAATATGCTGCATTAAAATAACAAATTCTAACCTTTTTTTGTTTAGTTTTTCTTTCAAAATATCATTTCAAATCAACTGATACAGCAATAGTATACACCGTGATTTCAATAAAATTCAGATAAGAATTGATAGACAGACAATTAAAGTTGTGGAGATGTAGCTAGGTGTTGATCTGATCCTATAATTTGGCTGTTGAAGTAATTTACAGTCTGTATGTAACACATCTGAACTTAATTTCTTGGATAGAAACCCATCACTAACAACTCCTGCTTTAGGGGGCAGAGATGAAATCTCAAAGTTAGAGTTAAAGTCACAAGTCTAGCAACTCACCAACTGCTGTTGAACAGAACAACAGGTTGTGTGTCCACGGTGTTGTGTGTTTACAGTCTTTTTCTTCCTTCTGCATCTGGAATCAGGCCTTAGAGACCCAGGAGGTGTTCCTGTAGACATATCACAGTGAAACTGGCTTCATAGGTCAAATCTCCCCCATCTAATTTCTCAGATTCTCTCATTCAGGGCACAAAATGTTTCACAATTTCTTTTCTGAGAATCTCCACCAGAACATAGATAAACATGGGGTTGTGTCACAAATGACCCGCCGACCACTCATGATCCTCTGGGGGGGTCTCAGCTTCCACAGGTTTGCTGTGGACCCTCAAAAATAAGCAAATGCTTGAGATTGATATTCAAGCAGTGATCTCTTACATAATTTAATTCAGTTCAATAAAAAAATGCAACAGCTTTGGTTACATGTTTCATTTTAATGGCTGCTCCCATGTGTAGTTCTACTCTTTTTCTGTAGTACTTTGCTTTGTTTTGATATATTTTTAGGCCTTTTTTTATGTTGACCTGCAGATGATGTCGCAAGAGAAGGTTTTATGTCATCAGAATAGCTCTTATAATAATAAATGCTGTTTTTGTAAGTTAAGATTTGAGACAGATTCCCACCGTAACAGATCACAGAGGAGTTTGTAAGTATTTCACCATGTGTCACAATACTTTCATCACGCTCATTTACATCTGACAGTGAACGCCCCACGTGAATGTGCCAGCTGTGTGTTTACCTTCTTTTGCATTTGGATCTTTTTCTCACCCTCCTTCCATCAAGCACACACATCAAAACTTGTGTTCTCATCCCACCACGGCAGCTTTTTGCCATCCTGCCACATTCTGCGTGAATAAAAGGCTGAATGGGAGGCTGATTACCTACTGCTATGTGGTTAATATACCTCCTGAGAGTCAGTCTCACACTAGCTTTGCTGTTTTTAGATATTTTTTCCTCCTTTTAAGTGAAAAACAATGAGAGGAGACAATGATGCAGTGTTTGGTTTGCTTTGTGGCTAAGGGAACAGCCACTCAGGGTTTAGAAGGATGAATTTCCACCACTAACTGTTTCTTTTGCTCACAATATAACTGAAAGCATCGTCCGGGGGGAGAAAGTCTGACCGCAACAGGTGGCGACGGCCACAGAGCTGCCCATCAGCCCTGTGGGAACTCTTTTAATGAGACTGATTTAGCAGTTTTCTTTTTAGATGAAGATGGTGAGTCATGGAGCAATACACACATTGTCAATCATTTTCATTATAAGCAACCTCCAGTCAGAGGATGCATGCGAATGAACACGCTGTCTATCTTTTACTGGCAGGTAGCTGGCTATAATAGCTTTAAATATTTAGTTTTAAGTGAATGTTACTTTAGAATGCTATACTATACTACACTATACTATACTATACTATACTACACTATACTATACTATACTATACTATATTATACTATACTATACTATACTATACTACACTATACTATACTATATTATACTATACTATAATATTCTATGCTATACTATACTATACTATATTATACTACACTATACTATATTATAATATTCTATACTATACTATACTCTGCTATACTACACTATACTATACTATAATATTCTATACTATACTATACTATACTATACTATACTATACTATACTATACTATACTATACTATAAAAAGTAATACTATATGAATTAATGTGTTTATACAATTGTAACAACATAATAAAGAGCAGGTTATTATTTTCCAGACTCAAATTATCTACATTAAAGGCTAAAAAAGGTCAGGTATATTTAAGAAAAGAAAATACTTTAGAGAAAATCATGTCTGATTTTTGGATGTGAAGAGAAAAATTAAGATCTCACTTATGTCAAAACTGATTTATAGCCCATCCTATCATCACTTATTTTCAAGTAGTTATAACAACAGAGTAGGAAGTGAGGAAGTTGAGAATGACAACACAGACATGTAGAACCACGTCCCCGTACATCCTGAGAAAAAACCTGACAACGGCTGTAAATCTAATATAATATAAGCACCAAAAAGACACCGGGGGGATGTTCATTCCTCTGATGTGTTTACTGGAACCGTAAACCATAAAACATTTCTCATTCCTCTTTACTTTTTGACAGTCGAACAGCTAACTATTAATACATTCTAAGGTAGCATTCACTTAAAGTGTCAACAGAAGTTAAAACAAAAGATTTAAAGCATTTCTAGCCAGCCATTTATCATTAAAAGATACACAGTGTGTTGTTAATCTGCATCCTCTGATTAGAGGTTGCTTTTAATGAAAATGACTGACACAAAATAATACAGTAACCCAAATTCAGGCCACACACACCTGCTGAGAGCTTT